TTTGACGTGAACAGACCTTGGCGCTGGTTGGCGTGGTGTTCTGGAATTTGTAAGGTTAAAATAGTATTTGCTGTGTGTTAGCTTAAGTTTTATTTTAATTGTGTAAAAAGCCTACACTAATATTTACGGGGACTAAAACTTCTGCTTTAGAAATTACTCAATTTTCGCAGGATTATGACTTTTTTAAATAAATATATTTATTTAAAGTCACCAAACCAGGTTGGTGGAATGCTAGGAAACTTACTTTGTTTATTTTAAATAATTTCTTATATCAAAACTATATTTTAATGGCCTTATTCATAAACAAGTAATTTTCAGCAAAAAAAACCGACTTCAACTTTCATATAAAAAAAAAAAAATATATATATATATATGTCTCATGATCCACTGATCGGATCTTAACCAGATTAGTATGGGACCACCTCTGAGACACTACCTTTCCGATGAAAAAAATTTAACTTTATAGAGCTCTATTAACCTATTTTATTAATCGACGTCCAAAAAAGGAGGAGGTTATCAGTTCGTCGGAATATTTTTTTATTTCATTTTTTTTTTATATATGTTACCGCATAACTTTGGACCACGTTAACCGACTTCTATAATTCTTCTTTTTAAGGAAAAGTTGGTACCTCAAGGGTGGTCCCATACTATTTTGGTGTAGATCCGAACATTGGATATTGAAGAAATTAACGATCATCTTAAGTTTTTATGTGGGAATTAAAGTCGGTTTTGTTTTTTGCTTAAAAATTACTTGTTCGCGATGGCTGGTCACAAAAAGAAATGCGAGATGAAATAGACACGTTTTATTATAAGTGGGCGGTGCCATGCCCAGTTTCACAAAAGATTATAAAATTGTTAAGAATTTTAATTTTGAGAAATATGACAGTTTTGGCATTTTTCAAAAATATCGCTTTGTAGGTGAGCTTTGTTTTGAATCGACTTTACCTATTTTCGTTTTATCGTAGTTACCTTTTTCTTGGTTTTAGATAAAAATTTATTCTCAAATTAAATGTCATTTTCATCCCTGGTTTGTATGCACTCAGTGAGTTTTCGATAAATTAGAGATGTTGTAGTGACAAAAAGTCAATTTTTAAGTAAAAGAATAACTGGAAATGGCGGAATGACAGAGAATTATTAGAAGGAAAACACCGAAGCAAAAAGGCAAGGCGTAAAAGCTATATTAAAGAAATTATTAGATGCAAGAAAATGCAAACCATCAGAATACAAAATCTCATCATAATTCTTAGAGCCGTTTCCTAGAAGCCTATGAACATATCTTTATATTTTTTTTTTTTTGTCTAAAAACTTTAAGAATTGTAGAGTAGTTGTCCATGATGAACGCCCCCGTGTTAATCACACACGTAAACATGTACGTACGGCAGATTTCCTTAAAATAAATTCATAATAACACTTCTCGAGTCCTTACCTGTTCGATTTGTTTTTTACGCCGCGCCTTATCCATCGCATCCAGGTCCATTATTATAGAATCGATAAAGAATTTCTGTCGAAATGAGAAACTCAGCGCCAAATACATATCACAGACCTTTTCCAATCGAAATCGTATCACTTACCAATTCTCTGCAATTGTACTGGTCCTGCGCCTGATCCGTTGTCGCAATGGTCAGGCAATTTTGTTTGTCACGCATTGCCTGGCAATGGCAGCAGCTGCATTCTCTACCATCACTCTTCTTCGTTGCATTGGTTGTTGCCGATTGAGCTGACGAGACGTGTGTTTGCGATTGGCTCGGTTCCGTTACGATGTCGGTGTTCTCTCCATACATGCCATTGCATTCTTCTTCCTCGTCGATGGGCTGCGAACAGTCACGTGTCACTGAAGTTTCGCCTTGTGCGACCACTGGCATGTAAAAGCCATGCACCGGACAAATGTAAGGCTGATTGCAGATGCATTCTTCGGGAGAAACCTTTCTAGATGCCACGTCATTGGATTCTGATCTAGATGATTCTGTGCATTGTTTAGGTTCGGCTGTCAACGCCAGCGCTGCTATCTCCTCGATCAATTCGAGATCTCCAATACAGCTGCTAGGCAATCCCTTCAAGCTGCAAAAATCCTCAGCGGTTGCTTCCCGAATTTGCTGTTTCGTTGAGCACTTTGTGCCCACTTCTCGTGTCGGCGCAATCTGCATCTGCTGTGGCGTTTTGGTCGCACAAGCGGGGACATGCGGGCAAGGCGCGCAGGTCAGCAAGTTTGGGGTGATGATAAGATTGCATGGCAACTGCAGTGGTATGTTCACGGGTTGACCTAGAGGCTGCGGCTCGGACATTTCCGAAGGTGCGCATGATGCATTAGGACTGGTGGCTTTGCGACTCGGCGTGAATGTTATTTTGAAGCCGGAACTGAAAGGGCCATTATCCGCCACTGGCTCCTCTGAGCCAAGCGCACCGATACTATGCATTTTTGTCGGTGCCACATCGCACCCGTGTGCTCTGCCATTCTCGTCCGACTGATTGATTAATTGAACTACTTCGCGTAGTAATTGAAGTATAGCCACATTTCGTGGCGGGTTTTTATTCGACTTTGGCTTTTTCTCTTTCCCGGGCGAAGTGAATTCGCAGTCCATAAAGTCTCTCTTTGTGGTTATTTCTTTTTTATTCTGTCCATTCCCTTTGCCTGCTGACGGTGGCATGCAATCATCCCGATCAGATGACGCTGAACTAAGGGAATAGAACTCGTCATCACTTGTCGAATTTCTGCCGGGACTACCCGCAGGCGCCATGCCACTAGGCAGACGTATTGCATAGGACGGTCTAGCCGGGGGATGCGCCGATGATATGGAGATTTCGAATGGGCACCTACAGCTTAACTGGCCACCGGATTCAGATGTAGATCGTGGGTAGTAACTTTTGCAAAATGCTCCAGCTGAGGTGGCAGTGGAAGCCTGCGAATTTTGAGAGTCTTGTGGGCTGGATCTGCTATTGGCTGACGACTGCTCTGCTGGCTGGTGATGGAAGCATGTTACCAACTGTTCTAAAGGCTGTTCTGGGCGATGTTGTTGTTGTTGTTGCTGGTATAGCAGCGATTGCTGCTGCCTTGTTTGTGGTTGCGGCTTCCGCTGTTGATGTTGTTGCTGTTGCTGTTGCTGTTGCAGTGGATGGTGGGGATGCTGTTGTTGCTGTTGAAAAATACGCTGACATGAACATTGTACGGGAGGTAATGGCTGCACCGCTGCTGGTGGTGGCTGCTCGGTAATAGTCGGCCCATTGGTCTCCATAATTACACGATAATTGGATGGACAGTTGATGCAGGACATTGTACCGTATTGTGCATGGGGATGGGGTCCTATGCGGAGGTTAATGGTTTGGGCGCTATTTAGATGCGTGTAATCTCTGTGAGTATCAGTTTGGGAGCACTTTTCTGCAGTGCCTGTAAACAGATAAGGGATACAAAAAACAAATCGAGAAAAACCGCAAATTAGATAACAGAAAATATTTTGACAAAATCTACGAATTATTTCAATAATTTTGAATTTAATATTAAGTCCGTGCTTCCGTGTCAAAATGAAAATAACAAATACAAAGTACTTGTTGTGGTTGGAAGAATCAATCATACATATTTATGTACATGAGCATGGCAGGGTTAAAACAATTTCGAAAAAGTTTTTTTATTCATCTCATATCTCTCCAAAAAAAAAATATTTTAAAGATTTATAACAAAAAAGTCTACAGTAAAAGCCTAGTTATGCATACTAATATTTACTTGACTCGATTTGGATAGTTGCCACATAGTGAAGCAGTTCAATGAGCTTTGCGTGTAAAAACACAAACAGACGGCAACGTTAAATAAGTTAACGACGCAATGGATGCGATTAAAATTGTAGCCTGATAGATGGCAGTATTGCATATTGAACGAGTCACGGTCAATTACGGTCGTTAGAATTAAATACTAAATTTAATAAAATGCAACTAAAAAGCTTTTTCCATAATTTTGAATTTTTTCTCCATCTGACATCGAACCTGGGTCCTATTGAGTTGGTTTAATTCAGTATCAATACCTTAATAGCACTTGGCTACATATCTACATATATATGTATGTACGCCGGCCTCCAAATTTGCTTATTTTGTTTTTAATTGCAATATAAAAGAGCGAACCTTTTTTTCGCAGATTGTCATCGAAATCTCACCTGGTGAGCATTAATTTTGAAAGTTGTATCTATCACTTAATCGAGATTATGAATTAGCTCATTAAACCGGATTAATGCTGCCATCTGTCTAGGCTATAATCAATGCAAATTTAACTATGCCTTAAAGCATAGACAGACGGCAGCGTTGATTCAGATCAACTCGTTGATTCGATATTATTTCGGAAATTAACTGCATTTAATCCGAATTAAGTCCTACAGCTAATTATTAGCTGTAAAATAAACGAAGCAAACAAGTAAATAAAGCTCTGTGGCCGCACAATACAACTCAGTAGGGCTCAGGTTCGTTCTCGAGCTCGATAAATCTCTAAAAATTTGATTTTTATTTTTTAGTTCAATATTATTTATAATTATTATTCTCATATTTGATGCTGGTGTTTCCGACAGGATAGGAGTGTGATGTATTGTGGAACGATTTTTGGACATCCTTGTCAACTTTGGTTTGGATACAAACTGGTTTCGGTGTTATGCCATCTTCGGTGTAATTTTATGTTCTGAATAGTTTCAGTTTATTCGTCACGGGTGGTGTTACTAGATGAGATGATTTTGTGCATGTGTTTCGCCTCAGGGTTTAGAATGTCAAATTGAAATATTTTGTTTGCATTGCCACACACACTCTTACAGATTTTGACAGTTCACGACGCAAAAGTAAAATACATGTAACTTTTTGTTTTTGTACTTCTGTATGAGCCATTTAGTATAGTGGTTTGGTAATTACAACCAAATATCCAACTATGACATTTGGCTACTATAACCGTTGCTACACCAAGAATAATAACTAAATATTTTTATCAGTGTACATTTGAAAAAAATAATAACTGAGAGAACGAAAAAAATTAATAAAAGTTTTACTGGCCGTGGGCGCCAATTTGAAAGGATAAACTGCACCACTAATCCGGATTAACGTTGCCGCCTTTCTGGGATATAATAGCTACATACATGTACTGCTGTAATTGCATTGAAATATGAGGTTACTAGGTTCGAACCTCGGAAAGGCAGAGAACCAGGGACCGTAACAGTTACAACTTTTATTAGAAAAAATCGCTTTTTAAGAATTATTTTTTTGATTATTATTTAATTACCTCTTTTATTTTATAAATCGAATATAACAATTATTTTTGATTTTTTTCTAAATAATCTGCAAACAACAGTTATTTTTGATTTTTAAGTTATATGTCTTAGATAACAGTTATCGAAGACTTTTATTTTAAAAGTCATTAATAAAAATCAGTCACTGACCTTTATTTTTTAAATCATGCTTATAAAAGTCATTTGTATAAGTCGTAGTAAACTGTTGTTTCCCAATACCTTCTTAACTGCGAAAAATGTTAATGACTTTTATACGAATGATTTAAAAATAAAAAGTCGGTGACTGATTTTTATTGATGACTTTTATAACTAAAAGTCTTCAATAGCTGTTATCTAAGACATGTAGTATAAAAATCAAAAATAATTGTTTTGTTTTTGGTTTTATAATATAAAAATCAAAAAAAAGTTTTTTTTTTTTAATTTTGCATAAAAATTGCAATAGGTGAAAAAAGAAAGCGATTGGTACGTATCACTTAGTTGTAGAACATTTCCTTCATAGTGAATTTTTCCATGACAGTTTCCCTGCAGAGAGCGCATTCGAAAAACTCTTCCGAATTAAAATAACTGATTTGTAAATTCCAAACTTCTTTTTTCGATTAGTTTACTTAACGTCACGTTTACAATTAGATTTTAGTTCTTTGTTTTTAATTTTACAGTTACAGTTACTATATAAATGTTTTTTGTTTTTTTGCTTTTGTAGACAATTGCCCTTTAAAGACGACAGACAACAACTGTTACAGCTTATGTTGTACCCCCTCGGTCGTATTCGACAACATCCTCCAAATTGACTGGTTCACCTCGTATGCGCTCCGTCAATTTATTATCGGTGCTCCACATTTCCTCACCAGTCATTTCCAAATATTTTGCCTCGGCTCTTTCGCGGCAGGGGCAAAAATCGAAGTTAGACGTGTTAGTGCATTTAGCCCGCGAGTGGTAGTCAACAAATATAGAGCCATTCAAGCGACACTTGCACACCTTGATTTTTTCATGCTTGATTTGATCGATTTGGCTATCTGTGGCTCGCTTACGCCAAGGACATAAGCAGCACCCGCAGTTGTGAGGACAGAAAACATTTCCTTCGGCATCGATCAGTGGACTCGGATCGAAGCGACACGGCGAGCAGATGTGGATGTCTTTATGCTGAGGCAAGGCTTTGAAATATTTGGGTTTGACTGGCTCTATGGGCACTTCCGGGCGCATTGGCATTGAAGACGTTGGTTTGCTGCAAATGCCACAAGCTCCTAATTTTGGTGGTTCTTTTGGAGCACGATATTTGTTGCAAATTTTACAGAGGTCGGCTGTGACTTCGCCTCTGGAACTAACGGCTGGGGTCTTTCCTCTAGTGCAAATACCACAAGGACCCACTTCTGTTTCGATTGGCGGGGCGGCTCCTCTTGAACAAACTCCATGTGGAGATTTTTCTGCTTTTGCCATGCCCCTTGAACAAACCGCGCCAGGACCTTTGTCTCCGGGACTCTCAACAGGTGTGCCATCTTTTGGGACATCTAATTCAACTGATTGGTGAATTGGTGGAACAAGTACCACCAGCGAATTCTCTGTTTTTGTAGACTTTCCACTCGGTCCCTTTAACGGCGGCACCGCTGGTAATTCGCTTGTTTGTGGCGGTTGTGTTGGCTGTGGCGAACAAATACCACACGCAGGTTTCTTAGTCGATTCCGGCTGCGTATGTGAATGCTCCCCCCTGCGCCCACATAAAACACACACACCTTGGCTAGCTGCTTCCGATAACGAAGCACCCACAGATGGCACCGAAGACGTTGCTATTGTGGCCACGAACGGTCCTTGAGTAACGGGAGCTTGCTGTATCTCGATCGTTCGTTTCGACGCAGTGGAAGCGGTAGCTACTTCAGGTGTGCCTTCAGTCGTCAGGGGTGCCGATGCCGGTACTTCTATTTGCACTTTTGACGCAACCACATGAGCAGCCGGTACTTGCATGAGAGAGTCGTGGGGGACTTGTAAAGGCAATGGAAGGAAACCAGGCTGCATGGCTGCCATTTGCTGCAACAAATCCGCATGAAAATTAGATGCTGGTGCAGGTCCTTCCATGGGTATGCCTATTAGATAACAATAAGATTATTTGTTTGTGATTCATACGGTTTGGTCTATGTCGGCTTACTGCTCACTTCCGGGCGTGGCGCCACTATAGTGTCTGTGCGTATTGGTTCCATCGACGCAAACATTTTGGCCATCTGGTCGTTATCTTGCACTGCTATATGCTTCCTGATTTCATATGATTGCTGGGACTCCGAATAGGGAAAGTTGTGCTGACGTTGTCCTTGTCCTTTCCTTTGGCCCTGTCCATGTCCTTGCAGGTGTAATTTCAGAGGAATTGTAAATAAAATCGGATCAATACGAATATTTGGCGAGACGTTCGATTTGCCTTCCGCTACCTTGGCGGTAACCTCCAGCTGGACTGTGCGGGACTGGGGTTTCATGTTGCGCACATCACATTTACAACGCGAACCGCACCCCCTGCGCTCCCTGCGACCACTACCCTCGAACTCGACCAGGAGCATTTGGGCCGTATTGATCACTTGTTTTAACGCATCGCGAAACATTCGAGAATCTTTTACCGGCGGTGGAGCAGTTGGCCCACTCTTGGAATACACAACAACGCTTGGCTGATTTATTTCAACATCGCTAAAGCAATCATAGAACACGTCATACTCACTAGGAGTTTCCGTGAAGTTCGGCTCAACATAAAGTATCTGCGTCGAATTACCAGCATTTGGCAAGGCTGCCGTCTCCGCTCCTGGTCTGCTCGGCATTCTGGATGATCGCTTCGCATCTTTGTTCATGTGGGCGTAATTAATTTTGTTGTATTTGTCCATTATGCAAAAGTTTGACAAATATTTAATTTTTTTGCGATTTTTTCGCTCTTTTCACAGAAAATTTTGAAGTTCAGAAATTCAATCAACAACAAACGAGAATCAAAGGAAAATTCATTTCAATTAGTTTTCAGTTTGAAAATTTTATGATAACTGAACGAAAGTTTCTGACAACTGAATTTATTTTATGAAATTGAAACAAAATTGACGATGCAGGAAGTGAAAAAAGTAGAGTGCTACACATTTTTTGAAAACGAAATCCGAGTATTTGCGTCATTTGACGAATCATTCATTTATTACGGCTTTTCACCACAATTGACTTTTTTAATTTTTGTTTTTACACTCTGATAAAAACATACCAGCTATTCCTGTCCTAAAACGCAAATGCTTCCAAATAAATTGATATATCTACGAATTTATACAGCTCCCAGATATGTATTAGTCCTGCAGTTAAGCATTTCGTATTCAAATCCCATTTCCTTCGATACCCGTTGAAGTTTACACTGAATTTGTCAAGAGGATTTCGTAATTACTTATCGCCTCTGTTCGCATTTCCCTTTCCACCGGATAGTAGACAGTGCAATAGAATTCCGATTCCATTCTCTTGGTATGGAAATCCATGAGTTGTTCATTAATTTGATCTTCGATTTGTTGCATCATCTAGGGAATCGCAAAAAATGAGTCATTAATGAATGCAACCCAAGGAATTGTGTTTGGCAATGTGTGGTGAGTGTGTGTACGAAATGTGGTGGTTGGTGAGCACACCGCAGCGGAAAATACGCACCGGCACCTTCAGCGGCTTGAAGAGTTCCTCGAGCACATGCAGGCACGACATTGCATTCACGAAGTGTTCGTAATTTTCCGTCGATACTTGTTCGTTGTAGTCCGAGTCGAAAATCGAGTAGGTTTGCAGTATTTCGAGGCCATCACGAAACTCTTTGTCGGCTTCCCAACGTTTTAATAGATTCTTGTTAAACTCGATCAGCTCCAGGGAATTTTTCGGCAGTGACGTCTTAAGCGTACTGAGAAAAACACGAATCTGCAAGGGAACAACATCGAGCAAACGCTCGGGATTCATATCGTCGTTCACCTGAACACCGATCTCTTTGTGTTCATTGCAGGTACCTTCCGTCTCAGTTCCCTTGTCGATTTTTTCGAACTCAGTTTCGGTGAAGGCATCCACCTTTAGTTGCAGCTCGATGCCATCTTCTTGCAGCGAGTGGAAGCTATCGAAGCGATGAAGTATTTCCGATTGGCTTATCTCGACGTCGCTCACATCGTGGAAATGCTGCGGCCGATGAGCATTGAAGCACGACACAATGCGACGTACGCGTGTGTGTAAAACACGGCGTTTCAAACGGCGCTTTCGGTTCCTTTGGGAGGTGGATATCGAGAGCCGTTTTATGGTTTCAGCAGCCTTAGAGGACTCGCGTTGACTTGCTGAAAGCATTCGCAACTCCGAAGGCACCTCGCAAATCGGTTTCAGACAAGTGGACTTTTCTTTGGGGGTCATAAAAAGGGGCTTGAGACACACGTCTATGACAAACTGTGGCATGAGTGCCATCGCGACTGTTAGATCTTGCGTGGGTAAGGGATCATCGCCATTTCCCTCTGGCTCTTGGGAAACTTCTAGTTCGGGAGCTTCAAAAAGCTCCGTAACCTTCTGTTCTTCCACAACCAACTCATTGTCATTGTTAGATTTTTCGGTTTCGGGGGGATTCACCTCATTGATTTCTATGTTAACGCTTACCTCATCGTCCAGCGAATCGCCATGCAGTAGGCTGTCTGCCAGCCTCTTCACATCGCGAGCCACGCTCGAGAATTGCTGGTGGGAAGGTAAGTTTGTCTCGCATTCCTACAAAAAGAGAGATGTTCAAAAAAATATTTAAATTTAAGGAGTGTATTTATAGTACTTTACCTTGAAATTACGCAACGCATTCCCTAAGCCAGTGCTGGCTGACTTTAGATCTTTGACGTCTTCGCGCTTGAAACGTTTCGACGGGCTTCCACTCAGCTCTTGTGCCAAGCTATAGCCTTCCGATCGTTCCAGCCGTTTCTCCAGCTTCTGCACCATCTCCTCCTTGCTCTTCACCTCGTCTTGCAGCACGCGTATCTTGTCTTCGCACTCCTTCTCGGTATTCTGTAGTTTGACAATCTGTTGCTCTAGTGTGGCCACTTCTTCTTTTAGCTCGCTGTTAGTCACTTCAATATGTAAGAACTCCTTCTTCAGTTCGAACAGCTGTCCCTGCAAAGCTTCCACTTCGGTCAAGTTTCTTGACTCAGTTTCCTGTTGCAATTTTCGCATGAAGCTGAGTTCATCGTTCAGGGTCTTGTTGCGTTTCTTCTCCTGTTCCAGCTGGTCGATTGTCGGCTTTTGTTGCTCTTTCAACGCATCCAATTGCTCCCTGACACGTTCGTATTCCGCGCTTATGGATTCATGATCATCCGTTAAGTCTCGATGTTCCTTGGACACGCGCACAAGACAGTTCTTCAAGTCGCGCTCTGCTTCTTCCAATTGACAGATCTTCTCGTTGGCTGCGCGCGCATCATCCCGCAAACAGTCCTGAAGCTTCTGTATTTTCGACTTCAGGCAGCACTCCTTGGCACGGTACGCCTCCTCACGATCCTTGTACTGACGCTCTAGTTCTACCCAATGGCAGTCAGCCGACTCCATGGCCTCGTAATGACGGGAATTCAAGTCCTTAATTTGATTTCGTAAACATTTCACTTCTTCCTTCAGGTACTGGCACACACAGTTCGACACTTCAGGGCTCTCATTGCGATAAAACTGATCTTCGCAGTTAAAGTTTGGCATTGGAGTAGCGCGAACAAATTGATTACCCGAAAACGCGGGTAATACATCATTCAGCTGTTCAGAGACTATTGGCATCACGTTGCCCATTTCAGTAGCTGGGTTCTTCGCAAGTGACTGAGTTTCGTTTGTTTTCCTAGGCGTTCCTGGCCGTGATGTGCAGTCGCTGCTGGTGGTGTTCGCCCACTGCGTGAACGTGATCGTAGTGTAGTACGTCAATAACAATGGCAACAAACTATGAAGTATCTCTAGATTCTCTTTGGCTATCTGCTTGTCTTCCTCGAGGTGACGAATTTGCGTTTCGGTTACGGCTAGGTCGTCACGTAAAATCAAACACTCAGAACGGCAGTCTTTGTACTTGGCACTCAATGCTTCTCTGGACATTTCCAGCTCAACGTTTCGTTGACTGAGAATTTCCAGCTCGACTTCCAACCGCTGTAGGCGTAAACGTGTGTCGTTCTCAGCCTCCTCGAACTCACACTTTTCCTCTTCGAGCGTTAAATTCTCACTTTCCAAAAACTCGACACGGTCGCGTAGCTCCTTCAGTTCTTTCTCCAACAAAATCTCGCGTTGTAGACGATCGGCCAATCGCTTGGTCTGCAAGTCGCCGGAACTCTCGTATATGAGTACCTTGTTCTCTAGTAGCGCCACACGGTCTTTGTAATACTGCAGCCGCTTTTGGTCGCTTAAATTCGGCGATAGTTGGGCAGGTACTTTGGTCGCGCCGACCTTGTGTGTGGGATCGGTGCGCTGGAGTTTTTGTAGTTCGTTGCAAAAATCGCGCGCTGCGTATGCAATACTTTCTTCCTCGAAGTCGGTCTGAGTGCAGGCGTTGTTCTCACTGACGTCGCTCAAGAAATCCGACTCAACGAATACGCCGCTCTCACTGAGGCTGTTGCTCTGCCAGGCCTGGCGGGACTTGCGTGGCGAATCGGTTGGTGTATTCGTCGGAACCAACTGATTGTTACCACTGCTGTGATTGTAGGCGGCCTGATGCTGCGGCGAACTGTTATAGGGCGAAACGGTTGCAACAATACGGGCTGCGTTGGGGAGCGGTGTGGCAGGTACGGCAGGTTTTGTGACTGATTTCAAGCTTGGATTGCTGCTGCTGCTTCTGCTGCTTGTATTGTTGCTTGCTTCGTACGCGGAGCGAGCGCTTGAAGGCGACGATGCTGAACTATAGTCCGATATACGCGATTTTACCTTCAATTTTCGAGTGTTTTGTTTGGGGAAAAATTAAAGCAAATGAGATTTGTTTATTCGCTATAAATACACGTAATTTAAATGTGAGAGAAAGGGTACTTTTTATTTTATTTTGCTAAACGAGAAATGATTGAAATAAAAATGTATGCGTTGCTTTTTGAAGAAATTTTCGAAAGCAATTACGTATGTGGAAAAAAGTCAGATGTAAACACGCAAATGTCGAACAGAGTTGCCGTGTCAAGCAAAATGTTGGCGCTCAAGTGGATGTAGTAAATATGCAGAGAGATCAGTGCAATAATCTTCGCTTACCAAATCCAAGCTGCTGGCCTCATCACTCGAACACGAGTTGGTATTCAGCGAATTGGATTCGCTGCGTTGCGCCATCAAATCCAAATGTTGCACCAATCGAATGAGCTGCTGCAGACAGTCCCTGTCCTCGCTATCGAGAATGGACTTTTGCAACATTTGTGAAATCCGGCGACGTAACTCTTCATTGGCAGGATCAATCAGCTGGTTGTCAAAGAGAAATATCGATTATTTTTTCCGTTATCTTACTGAAACTTTGAAACACTCACATTGATTTCATTTTCCGCATGCTGCTGATTATTTGGCGATGTGATGCGGGAATCACCGCTTGCGGCACCATTTCCACATTTTCCAAATATCAGCTGCATAGGATCTTCCTGATTCGCCCAAACGTTCTTTACTGTCGGGGCGGTGGCAGTTTGTGATGTGGTCGAAGCTGTTGTATGGCTCTGCACAGACCACTGAAAGAGAATTTGCAATTGTTAGAGCAAAGCGATAAATACATGCATAAATAAGTATGTTTTTCTATGAATGAAAAAATGCATTTTTAAATTTTTAGATATTTCGGGTGAATTATTTCTATAAATACCCTGCAGAAAAAAATTATCAACTGATTAAAATAACCAACTTCTAGTTAGCTTTTCTGCGGGATTTCGATAAATACCTAACTTTTAATTAGCTATGACAAAACTAACTTTAAGTTAAGTTAAGTTAATACAATTTTTTCTGCATTTCGCAGATTCTTTTTCGTGTTCAGGGCAAATAAAATAAAGGTCGAAATTTTGTATTATCATTTTGATGTTTGGTCTGATCGAATTTAAATGCGAGACCAACTACAAAAGAATATCGACAGGTCGGTGGTTTTCGACGGGGAGCGATGCTAGCAAAACGATGCAACTCAGGCGACAACTCCAACGATAGCGAAGGTATTTATCTGCTTCACAGCACAAACAAATTGTAATCCACAAAAACAAAAGTTTTAAGTGAAAAAAACAAAATGTTGCTGCTAAAATTGTAAGCGCGTCTAACTAAAAAGCAATCAATATGACTGAGCATGCATGAGCGCCTGTGTGTATGAGTGTGTGTGTGTGTGTGTGTGTGTGTGTGTGTTGGCATGTGAGCGCCAGCAACAAGCAATTACAACTTGCAGTAGCATTCAGCGAACATCCAGCCTACGCCAACCAACTGCCACCCCACCGCTGAAAATGGGCAATCATTAGCGCCGCTGCTTATTTAGCAACAAAATAGTAATTGTTGCATTGCCACGCTATTCCTTCGCATTGCTGGCGTGCTGCCGCCACCAACAACACCTTGGATGCCACAACTGCATACTCAAAGCACGCTGCGTGTTAACGCTTCACCATTCGCTGATCCTTCTACGCCAATTCACTGATTTTGGTGTTGATTTGCGCAATTAAAATGCGCTCAGGTGTGCTGTAAATCTAAATACACACGCCTCTGTTGTTATTGTTTTAATTTGTTTGGTCTGACTCTTTTTTTTTTTTTGTTAATTCATAAATATTGCATTTGATTGAACTTCTGCTGGTTCGCATGCGCGGCAAGGTTGGCCGGCTGGTTGGTTGGTTGGTCGGTTGGTCGGTCGGCTGGTAGTTTAATGGATTTTCAACTCGAATGATTTTTAAGGTTTGTAAATATGTATGTATAATCACCTACAGTGCTCTTTTATTAGACTTGGAAAATTGCGGTTAATAGTGTTTTGAAAAAAGTAGAAAAATGCACAGTAGCTCAGAAAAAATAGGGGCAGTGTACTTCATAAAAATTTCGCAATAACTCAAATGAATATCGAGATAATCACCAATAGACATGAGAGCGATAGAAAGCTGATAATTAAAATTTCTGAGGCGAATGTCGACTTTTTAACTTCGTTTGCGATACTTGAATACTTATTAAAAATTTATTGCAATAATTTATTTAATTTAAAAAAATTGATATGAAGAACTAACTTATGTACCGTTTTACATTTTTTCAGAACAAAATTTGTCTTTAAAGGGCAGATAAATTTTGAAACCAACATGAGAAACTGGCCCTAATTATATTAAAAGCCAATTTGTAGGGAGGTGGGTAAACAAAAGAAAGGGAGAAAATGCAACACAAATGACGTTAATTACAAACTTTATTAAACAAATGTAACCAATATGAATAGTTAGTTGGTTCCTTTGATACTCCTATCTACATATATGTACATATGTATCAGTAAAAATATAGTATTTATGAAACTCTTCCAAGTTTTGTAGTTTTTTGGGCGCCAGAAAATCCGTTATGCAAACTATTTCAAATTTTCAGCGCACATATGTATGTATGTACATTGTACATACATAAACTTTTGTCTAACTAATTAAGCTTTCATTAGCATTTAGCTACCGTTTTTATACAGAAACACACTCACTAATTGACTTATTTATCCAATCATTCATCGTGGCCATTCACAGAAGAAACAACTCATTTACATAGTTTAGCACTACAACTTGACGCATGCGCTGCTCTGTGGTAGCAGGTATATAAACCCAGTCAACATTTTTAAATAAAAGTGAATCGAACTCGAGTCTTATTTACACGCTTTTGTCTATTGAGAATCATACACGGCGCATTTTCAGAATTATAAAACGAGTTGCAGCAGTGCTAAGAAAGCGGCTCTTACATACACATGTATATAATGTAATATCTCGCCAAGAAGTGTCTTCAAACACTCTTATAGATATACGAGTTCCAAACGACTCGACAATCGTGCAAATGCTAGTTGGGAATATAAATATGTAAATATTTTTGTGCCTGTGTGCTTGGAAAATATAACTGTTTTGAAAGCGCGCGTTCTAATTGCATAAAAGAAGAGAAGTCACGCGACGCAAAGCAAACGCCCTTCACACTTCATTAATTTACATAAAGAATAAACAAAAATTATAAAATTTTAATATAATAATAAAGGAGCGTTATGTTCATACATATATAAATGCCTACGAGCGAAGCGCGAAAATTAACCAAGTTCTATTTTTATGCTGCGCAAACAGGTCAATAAACGCCTCAAAATCGTTATGAATTATAATTAGCGTAGAAGGAATAGTAGAACTTTGAAAAGGAAACCACCTATTCTACTTTAGCATAAAAATTGCAATTTCTAGAATAAAAATTTTTCAAACATTTAAGTCGAAGAGGAAATATTTTTTTACTAAATGTAAGGAACAAAATGAGAAAGTTTAAAATCATTAACTAATGTTAGCTTGCAATATGTATGTATGTATGTAAGTATGAACATACTTGAATACATATATTCAGACAATTTTAATTTAAGCTAGTAAATGCGTTGCCAACGCCGTACTGCTAAAAAGTAGTTAATAGTTATTAAAATTAAATATTTATCAAAATTGTATGTATTTATTTTTTACGATTTTATAGCAATTCTACGAAAAAGATGTGTGGCGGCATGGTTAGATAAATAAAAAAAAACGGTTATCATTATTTAAGATATTCTTCCTATTCAGAGAGTGGTTGGAAAAATTATCAATTCGTAGTTCGATAAATAACTAACTTTTAATTAGCTATGACAAAACTAACTTTAAGTTAGTTGTAACGTCGTGCAAGAGTCATGCAGACGTTATCGGGAGTTTGTTTTCTTTGCAAGTATCTCTTTAAATATCCTCACAAAAATTAATTTCGATACACTTTTTTCTGAACTTCGCAGATTATTTTTCGTATTCAGGTCAACAAAAAGGAAAATCGAAATTTTACTTTGTCATTTTGAAGTTATGTCTGACGGTGTTCGAATATGGGACCACCTAGAGCAGTATATGCAAAGAATTATGAAATGTTATAAAATAAAGTAAATAAATAAATACATAAAAAGTAAAAAAAAAAAAAATATATCTTGTTTTTTTTTTTGATATTTTATGCCCAAAAGTAGTTAGCTATAAGTTAGTTGACATCTAATGCAGAGGAAACCAGTTCTCACTACTTTATGGCCATCGCCCTTCAAAAGTAGTTAGTTACGGCCAAAGGAAATAGTTAGTGAATAGTTACCACTAGTCGAAAGCTAGTTAGTTAATAGTTAGCTACAAACTAGTTCCATTTCCTGCAGGGTGTGTACATACATTTGTATTTACTTCATAGATGTATGCATTTTTGCTAGCCGTAAGCTTTACTTAACTTCTTACATACAACGAGGTATTAATTGCTAAGAAACTAGTTTGAACTTAAGTTTCTACACACAAAAATATATCAGAAGTTAAACGTAAACATTTATATGTCGTTTAACTTTCTAAACGAAATTACTACTAATTTACTAAGCTACTACAAACAGCTAAAAAAAAATTATTTTAAAAATGAAAGTCATTTGACAATCGCTAATGTGCTGAAAGCGTAATTAAAAATTTATTTCTTTAAATAATTCTTTATGTAATTAGGCATTAATTAAAAAATTGTATTTATTAAATCTCATTAATATCAAAAAATTGCAAATGGCATGGAATAATAAATTCATATCATCCATCGTTTTATGTAAGAACGTAATAAGCAAAAAAAAGAATGTTGGGTATTATGCAAGCATTTCTCATTCATACGATATCTATTAATTATGGTTCAAAAGTACAGAATTTGAATTTCTTGAAATTTTACTCTTTTTTTTTTNTTTTTTTTTTTTTTTTTTTTTAATATTTTTATTGAGCTTTGTACCACGATTATTTTAATCGAAATGAAAAACAACCATCACTTTTTGATTAAAAAATGACCTCATTTTCAATATCGTCGGATCTACCCATGACGAAGTGCACTTTCCTCAAAGGTGTATTCATTTAGTATTTACATTATCTTATCACTCTAATCGTGATTTCATTTCTTCCACAAAATGTTGCCCTTCCACCCACCCTCTAAAAAGGCATATTTTTGCCTTCTTGTCCCTGTCTAGCTCACGCATTTCATTATATTGTCGTTTTTGACAGCCATCTCATTTTCAGGGCAACCATCTTCACTGACAAAGCTTCAAAGGGTAGAGAATGTGCCTTTTTTCCTTATAAGAGTGTGACATTTTAAGAAACGAATACAAAATTTTCTCACCACTTGCCTTTATTTTAGAATCGAACTCGAAAAGACAAAAGGGCAATCAAAAGGCCACATTTTTTGTTAGAAACGAAATCGCCATAACTGAATACTATTTTTCAAATAGGTGACAACCCGCTACAAAAATATGTTCGGCGGTAAAATTTCCTAAATCTCAAAGTTTTCAAACAGGTGGCAACCTTCCAAAAAAAAAAATGTTCGACCTTCTTAAACCTCTTTCATGTCAAATCCCTGTTGCAATATTTACTTACTTTATCTTATCAATTTACTTAAAATGCAATTTTCTAACAGGTGGCATCTCTCTAATTATTATTCTTTTGCTATATTTTAAGTTACATCTTTAGTAATGCATCGGTGAAAACTGTATTCAATTCCAGACAGACAAAAATTCTAAAATTTGTTGTTGCTCTAA